TTCTTTTCCCTCCTAGGATCCGATCCTGCAGCAGAATCTTCTGAGGGTTCTCAGTCAGCCTAGGCTTCAAGCTCTTAATCTTTGCTACTGCTCGAGGTGAACCTTAGTCCTCCTGAAAGCTTCCCCCTTCCCACACAGTCCCTGTCTAGAGCAAGCACCCCCATTCTTTCCAGGTGACTCCACTGACTCCCCACTCCTAATTTGTTTATTTTGTCACATTCATGGAGATCCTTCTGCCTCAGCCTTCTGGGGTTGCAGGTTCCAGGCATCATCCCTCCCCTTCCCCCCACACACCACTGAAGGCATCATTTCTTCTCTGATTTCCTTGAAATCACCTCCCCCAGACCACTAGTTCATTCTTTTACCTGAGTGCACAAAGCAGGTATGACCACAAGGCCAAATAGAAATCCTTCTAACCCGGCTGGGACAAAAAAAAGAAAGGAAGGAAAAGAAAATAAGATTCACACTGTAGCTGGCAGGGGATATGAGAAAAGGGTGTCACCCCCATTTTCTCAGTCAAGCCTGGGGCTCTGCTGGGAGCTGGCAGGTGAGCCTCTTCCTCCCTTGAGGGCCTACGAGGCTGGGTGGAGGCTGCTTCTCTCTGCAGAGGCAGTCCCCACCCTTTTCAGTGCCCTCCAATGGGGCAGGCTGGTGAGTGTGCGGAGGCCGCTGGCTGAAGGCAGCTTGGGAGTGAGACCTGCGCACCAGCAGGTTCCCGGCAGCAAATAGTTTAAGAAAAAAATCTGAGCCTGTTTCCCGGTCCGGCTATTTCAGCAAGAGTACAGTGCTCCCGCTGAATGCTCTCTGCTTGGGGTGTTCATGCGGGACTATGTGCGTGCTCGGGTGTGCTCGGCCTTACAGCCTCTCTCTTAAACCTGAACAACATAAAAAATAAAAATATTTGGTCCTTGACGTTCAATGTGTGTTTTATTGTTGACCTGTTTTGGAAGCTCGTTCTCATCTTCCTCCCCCTTTGCCCTCCACCTCAGTCCCTAAGGAACCTCAATCCCCTCTCCATCCTCACCCTCACCTCTGTGAGCACCGACCCTCTGCTCAGACCTGTCCTGAGAAACCCCGCTCTGGTGGGGTCTCTTGTCTCTATCTCTCTCTCTATCTCTGTCTCTGTCTCTCTCTCTCTCTTTCACACACACACACACACACACACACACACACACACACACACACACACAGAGGCAGCAGCATTCTATCTAAGTCCGAATGCTCAAGCAGCCAGGATGAAAACGTTGGAGATACTTGAGGTGCCTCTGTGGAAGAGAAAAGCTGCCTAGAACCCAGGCATCATCAGAAATCAGCCTGCAAGAGGCTGAGTATCCCTGGGACCTTCTCTTGCTTGCAGTAATAAGATCTGATCATTCAGGAAAGCTCCCCACCATTACCCAGGGAAGAGCTGTGAATTCTGGAGCTGCCATGCCTTCAAATACTTCACTGCAGGACGTCATGGAAAATGAGGCTTTGGGGTAAAGGGTCAGTGGAAGAAGAAAGCTCAGACCGTGGCACTAACCTTATTTACTTGTTTAGACAGAATTTTCTGTAGCCCAGGCTACCCTTAACTCATTGTGTAGCTCAGGGTGACCTTGAACGTACTGAATTCCTGAATGCCTCTACTTCCCAAGTGATGGCATGTTCATAGCTTGGTTTAACTGGTTCTGGGTATTAAATCCTGGGCAAGGCAAGTGGCTGTTTTATTTTTATACTACCAATTGAACTTTATTCACAGCCTTATTTAAAAAAAAACAACGAAATTATTATCCCGTTTTCAAGGTAGAATGCACAGGGAAGCTATAGGTTCTAGAAGCCAGTGGTAGGGCTTGGCAGGCCTCAGATACCAAGAGCTGTTCCCCTCACCTCCTTCCCACTAGAGCAAGTTCCTTAATGCTTGGCTAGGCAGAACACCTAACAGAACCCCCTCCTTACTATGAGGTGTACCCCAATACCAGCGGCAGCATCAAGCCTTGTTTCAAAAGTGGCACATCATACCATCTGACAGAAACCACACACAGCACTCTGTACAACCCAGAGCCCCGTTTCTGTGGTCTGCAGAGTTACAATACTCTGTCTCCTGAGCACTTGTTTAGAACACACTCCAGAACATTCCACCTGTAACATGCAGTCCTGATCACATCTCACCACTGTGCACGATGCAGTTACGTCTTGCAGGTTCTTTACAGCCCCTCATCTCACACGCTAGCATTCTGCACACACACACATTCGGGTGTGATGTTCACATAGTTATGTATTTGGGACGGGGTCTCGGATATCCTAGGATATCCTAGACTGATCCCCAACTTGCTAAATTCAAGGATGACCCTGAACTTCTCCTGCCTCCACAACCTGCTGCTGTCCTGGTTTACCAGTGCTAGGGACGGAATTGAGTGTTTCTGTACACACTTTCGCTGGTCACTCTACCAAGTAAGCCGCTGGCTAGATTAAAACGGAGCCCTGCCCAGTTAGAATCTTCAAATACTCATTACATGTAAAACCATCACACCAGATCGAAGTCCTTCTCCAGTCGAGCGCAGGGCGGAACGGATGCAATTTGTTTGTTCGCCTTTTGCCCCTCTACATCCACCTCCCACTTTCAAGTTTTCAGGGACGTCCTTGGTGCCTGCTCCACGCGCGCACTTTGCCCACGGGTCAGCCTCTGTAGGCAGGCAGCACTTTGGATCCTGGTACCCACTAGCGATTTTCCACCCACGTTCCCTCCCGTCGCCAACCCCTGCACTTCAGCCCGCGTCCCTCGTGCTCCCTCCTGATGCCCCGGGATGTGCAATCTCTCGTGGGGTCCTGGCCACGCTAATGCGCAGCAGGGCGGCCGGCCTCGCTGTGGGTGGTCGTCGGCGCCCGCGGCCCCACGGCCGAAGCAGGATCTGGTTCCGCGCTCGGGTTTCTCCGGGCGCGCTGTCGGCCGGCGTCTTCACTTAAGCAATTAGCCAATGCAGATACCTGGGGCCCCGAGAGTGGGGGGCGTCCTCCCTGAAACGGGGGTTTTCCGGGGGCCAGCGCCGAGCGCGTAGGGATTTAATTTGAGAAGCGGAGGACGTCTTGTGGATGCTCAGCCAAGTGCAAGTATTTTCCTACAAACTCTCGGACCCTGCCTCCCTGGGGACTTTGTTTGACGTCGTCCTTTCCTGTAGTCCCAACTCATTGCTGCCGCAATCCTAAGAAATGGGTGCTGCAGTTGGGGCAGCGTAAGGAGGAAACTTGGTAACAGTACAAAATGGTCAAGTTAGGAGCATCCAAAGCTGGGAGTTCAAGTCCAACACTGGGAATATGGGGAGGGGGCTCCCATAGTTTCTCAGGAAGCGACGCAAGTCTGCTTCTGCAGTCAGACTCGATCCCAATTACACAAAACGACCAAGGGCTTGGTCTGAGGACCGCCGGTGCGGTTGACACTTTATAAAGAAAAAAAAAAGGAACCAGAGGTGCCTTTGACACACTTTGGCGGTAGCTTACAGGTGAGGGTCATTGACAGATCCTACCGCTGAACCTCCTATTTTCCCTCTTCAAACGCGTGAGATTTAGTAAGAGCAAGGAGTGTCTGAGAACTAACTTTTCTTGGAACTCATAGGCAAGCCCCCCATAGCTATAAATGTAGTTTAACTGCAAAGGGGGGTCCTTTATGCTAAAGGACCAGGTTCTCAGCCAGCTACCCTCTTGGGTACTCACTTTCACCTCCCTCCTGAAACTAAGTATTGGCGTGAGCCTCAGGATGCTGGGGCCCCTTTCTTTCCTGCCACGGGGACTGGCGATTGCTATCAGCCCCCACCCTCACAAGCCGCTTGAGGGTCTAGGCCTGAGGACTGAAGGGCAAGTGGGAACCCCGACTTCAGTTTCCCCCCTGGGAAAGGAAACTACCTCACCACAAAACCTAAGGTGCCTCCAAAGAGGGGCTCTATGAAGGACAGTGGTCTGTGGTAGTTCAGGAAGGGGCGGGGAACAGAGCTGGAGGTCACCTATGGGTAGAGTCTGTGCCTGTTTTTGGAGGCCCCTTGGCCTGCCGACTGAGGCTACCATCTTTCTGGAGCACCCCCCACCCCCAGTGCAAAATGCTGCCTGTGCTGGCTTGGAAGTTGGCCACCTCCCTCAGCTCACCTCTAGCTAAAGGCCAGATATGTAGCACACTTCTGGAAAATTCCCTGCCTGCCAAACAGTTCAGAGACCGCGCGACGGGAGTTACCAGTGGAAAGCAAAATGGGAAGGAAAGGAAAAGAGGAGAAAGAAAAAAAAGGGTGGGAGGGAGAAAAAGAAAAAAACTGGGAGTGTGGGAGAGAGTGGTTTGGGATGGGGTGTGCCCAGGCGTATAGGGCCCATTCTTGTGATAGTGTGGTTATGTGTGGGCGAAGGCACAGTCCAGTAGCATGCAGGCTACATGCGGTGCTGCGTCCTCCCCAGGGTGGGGCCCCTGAATTGTACAGAAGTTCCCTGGGAAAGTTCAGGCCACTCTGGATGGTGCTGAGGGGCGCTGGCTAGATGGGCTGAGTAAAGCAGAAGCCTTTCTCACAGGGCAGCTATGAGGGCGAACATATAACCATATATAAGCGCTCACGTCCCCCTCCGCTCTTTTTCCCTGGTTGGGCCACAGAGTTCCCAAGCCCGTCCTGGAGAAAGTTCCGGGGAAGGCGACTCTAGTCTCCTGCGAACCCGGCCCAACCAAAGGAGGCTGCGACAGAGCGTCAACCTAAGTCACCAAGCCCCCAGCCCCTCGCACAACCGCGCCAGGCGCCTAGAAGGCGACAAGGCGCCTTCCACCAAAGCTGAAGGCGTGGGGGTGGGGAGAAGATGGGGAACTAGGAATCCAAAGAAACTTGAGGCCGGCGGACTTTAAAGGAGACCCGCACACACCTCTCCTTACAGCTCGCGCCAGGACGCAGTCGCCTGGCTCCTCTGTGCCTCGCACTGACTCGCGAAAACGTCCTTCATCACCCTCCCTGCCAGAAGGACCCGCGTGCGCGTCTGTGCTGCGGGAGGCCCGCACTCACCTGGTTTCGGGCGCTCAGAGTCCAGCCGGGTTTCGCGCGCGCCGTGCTGCATCCCGCACCAACTTCCCACGGCCGCGACCCCGCAGTCAGGGCCGCTCCCTGCCGCGCTCCCCGCCAGCGCCGCCCGCTTTCCGGAACCCGGCCTGGCGCGTAGTGTTGGAGGCCCCGCGGCGGCGGCAGGCCGAGCCCATAGGGGCATCAGGCCAACTCCCCCCGCGCCCGCAGGCTTCTCTACTCTTATTATTAAAGGATCCCCCGGAACGTGTTTACGTTGAGCCTTGTAAACTTCCTGCCCCGGACTTTGCCATCTCTCAGGAAATCAGAACCTGCGCTTGTAAAAGGGGACTCGGGGCCGCGGGGCCAACTAAGCGGATTTCAGAGTTGAGCGTGGGGGAGGGGGCTCCGAGGAGAATTTGCTGTGTGCGCTCTGATCTGAGAGTGGTGTGTGTGTGTGTGTGTGTGTGTGTGTGTGTGTGTGTTTGTGTGTGTGAATGAAGGCGATGGCTATGTCAGCTCCCGTGGGACCCTGGGGTACGTGAGTGGGGCGCGCACTGGGTGCAAGTTTGCACGTCTGAGTTGGTGATTTGGGAATTCGCTTGGGGCATCACTGCGTGTGCGCTCCAGGCGCGCGTTAATGCACGCGTGTGTGCGCCTTTATGAATGAGTGAACCGGCCGTCGCCGTTTCGCTAGGGAACCCGTGCGGTTCGTGGCGCTGCAGGAACTAAAGCCACTCGCCGGGTCGCACTTGCAGTGCTGGAGACAAAGCGCCCGCGAAGCGGCCTGCGGTTTCGTTTTCCGCCCGCGCTCGGCCAGGGCAGTGGCTGCAGCCGGGCTGGGCGATTCCGAGGACCGCCGGGCGCCGGCGCAGCGCTTCCCGGGGCGGGGAGTGAGGGGAGGCGGTCCCTCTCGGGAACTTACGCCGTCCTGCCTCGAGGGCCGGGAACCTAGTCGCTAGCTCGGGCCGCGCTGGTCACGACCCAAGGCCTCCGCCACCGCTGCAGCCCAGTGTGCTGGAAAGACCGGGGCCCGGGCGCGTGTCCAGTCCAG